GAGCTTCATTACAAGATTTGTTAAAAATGATTGGATTAAGCATAGCCACTAAACTTTTGAAGAAGGCCAACATACCCAAACCTATCAAATGCATTGAGATATCTAAAGCCACAACCTTACTTAGGCATTCATATGTAAGGCTTGATAGATAAACTCAGTAATAACCATTAATAGATCAGTGGATGACTTAGAAAAACAAAATCTATATTGTTTTTCAGTCTGCATCAATTGAGATGCTTAACCAATTCAGAATTCAATTGAGCCTGTAGTACATTTCCAAAAAGAGATAAAAAACTAATAGGAGAATAATTCAAGGGAACATATGGTTCACCAGAGTTCTTAAAGACAGGAACAGTAGAAGATTTCTAAGAAGCTGGAAAGTAAGAAGCAGTGAGGTATTTATTGTAGAGTTTGAAAAGGACATGAGCGAGTTTAGGAGCACATTTCCTTAGGGCAATTGAAGTCTTTTATTTGGTAAAGTCCTCTTTGTGATTCTGTAGTATCAGTCCATAGGCTTTGAAAAAGGATTGTCCGCTTTATGACCTAAAGGCTTCATTTGCTGGAAGCCATTTTTAATAAATAATTTGAAGTGGTTGTATAAAGCTTAGGTTTTAGACATCTTTAAACAGGTTAGGCACCATGTTACGATATTTATATAAAAGTCTTGATTTGACTATTTAAAAATATTACTCTTGTTATTAAGTTAATGTTATGATGTTGGTTACAAGTGTTGTTGGCTGGTGTACAGATTGAGAGATAAATATATGTGTCTCCTGAAATGCCCACAACAAACATGGCAGACTCAGTTTGTGTGTCCATGTAAAGAAATGTAAAGAGATAACAACAACCGATATATATATGCACAAACAAATGATAATGTATTAACAACAAAGGGTTACAAGTTAATAACGCAATAATGTGTGTAACAAATGAATTCAGAAACTGTTTTGGTCCAAAGTATGTATGCATATATTGTTCATGTGTTTCCCAAAAGTGAACACGTTATAATTGCATACTTCTGCAAGAAATTTACATGTTGATGTAAAAATTAAGAAGAGATTGTGAATAATTATTGCAGAGTATTTATAATGCTGGAAAGTGTCCCCTAGTAGCAGTTTTGAAAATTAAGAGGAGGTAACCCAACACAGGTATTCCTAATGCAGCCTAGTTTATGTTCAATTTCCTTCCCTTATATTAAATTTGTTATAAGTGCTCCATGCACCAAGGTATTTGAAATTTTTAGTTCAAAGGCATATTTTCTCGTATCTTTCTTGACCTTTTTCTATGTACAAAAAGGACCAATTAAGTAACAGTTAAGTACTCATGTCTTTGTCCTTCTATTTAGTAACTACTAATTTCTTCTGCATTCTTACCAATAGTAGCTGAGTGTGCAGTATGTCAAAATTGTATCTGAAGTCAATATATATCACTAAATCATTGACATTGTCATTTGCTGATTGCTCATGGAAAAGAAACAGCAGATGTGAGCACAGCTAGTTGATGGATAATGCATTTAAGCATTGTTCATGGCAAGCCTTGCCTGGGCTGATGAAGGTTTACTGCACAGATAAAAGGTTTTTCGATCACTGCTGCCAAAAATGGGAAAAATAGTGTCTTGTTAGTTGAAAACTTACTCCATTCAATGTTTTTATTGACTCCCTGTATCTGTTGATGTTTCTTTGGAAATAAATAGGAAGCACTATTTTCAGAGCATGTACACACACACATACACACACTGATATGTGTGTATGTGTGTGTATCTGTGTCTGTGTGTGTGTGTGTATGTATTGATATATATCTACATTTTCTAATAGATATGGACTTCAATGTATTGCTTTCTATCTTCAGGCCTATACATGAATCCATACGTTCCTTTTATTCTTGGCAGCCTTTTCCCTTCACCAACCAACCATTATCTAGTTGAGAAGCCCAGGTGCGGACTTTTCCATGAAAGCCATTTTGTTTTCCCATTTAATGACCCTCTTCAAAAACAAAGCAAGGTTTCACAATCCTTTATCCAATTCTACTTCAGAATTTTACATTTTTCACAAAGTTTACAGTTTCAAATTAACCTAAAAAAAACAAACTTAACTCTTTTTTTTTTTAATTTCATTCTTTTTGTTCTTTCTTTATGTTCTTCTTATTCTTCTTTCATAGATTTCCTCTATTTTTTTTTTAATTTTATTCTTTTTCCTTTTATTTTTCTTTCATATATTTCAGCCAAAATTTCATTCGTTCATTCATTCTTTCATTTTTCTTTCATTGAATTTTTTCTATTTACATTATTTGGACTATTGTCCACATCTTTGTTGCCATATTTATTACGACATTTTGGCCATTGTATGCTCCGGCCTTCTTCAGGTGGTTGAAATGTTGAACTGAACCCTTTATTTCGCTCACTGGAGTAGAGTGTTCTAGTTCCATTTGTTATGTCTAACGGAAATCAGTTATCAATTAATTCCCCTCTTCAAGTCTGAATAATGTATATAATGCAAGTAATCATAATACCTCATCTCTGAGATATAGACAGATATTAAAACTGAATAGTTGAATACTCAAGTAAATGGACTATTGTCCCCATCTTTGTCGGCATATTTATTATAATGTTTTGGCCATTGTATGCTCCAGCCTTCTTCAGGTGGTTGGAATGTCGAACTGAACCCTTTATTTTGCTCACTGGGGTAGACTGTTCTAGTTCCATATGCCATGTTTTAATGGATGTCAGTAATCAGTTAATTCCCAGGTATTGAACTCTTTGGGCCCTTTCACCGGATCTAACCAACGCTTTTAGCCACTGTGCCATGTGTCCTTATATATATAAACAGATACTGAATTTTTTCTATTTTTTTTTCTTTCATTCATTGCATTATTTGATATTTTCTTCTTTTTTTTCTTGCTTTCTCCTACTCTTTCATCGATGAGTGGGTAACAGTGGTTGTTAGCATGGAAAGTAGAATCAGTATACTGAGTAAAAATTACAGCCGAGTTCACGGAAATAGCCTTGGGAAAAGTATGAACCCATTTTTTCTCCCCGCAGCTATGGGTTAATTAGCAGGGCAGCAAGCAGTCAAGGGAACAGTTCTGAAATAAAAATTGGTTTGGTATGGGGCTGGGAATTCCAACTTGTGAAAAATGACTTATGGAAATCACAACAGCAACACCTACTGTAGTGAGGCTTTGGCCGTATACTCTAACAGGGGGGTGGGGTCTACAGAATAAGAGGAAAGAAACACTGAATTAAAATGAAAGAAAGACATAAAATATAAGGAAAATGAATGTAAATAGAAAGAGAAAAAGAAAATTAGTGTGAAAAGAAAAAACAAATACAGAAATAATGGTAAAATTAAGATGAAAGAAAGAAAGAAAAGGAGAGAGAGAGAGAAAGAAAGAAAAATTGAAAGAAAAAGAAGGAAGAAAGTAAAAATGAAAGAAAGAAGGGAAGAAAGTATAAAACAAAGAAAAAAGGTAAAACTACAAATGAAAGAAAAAAAGAAAGAAAAAGAAAGAAAAATTCCTTCAATTATTTTTCCCCCTAATCATCCACCAATACAAACTTCAGTTTGTGCCAATTCATAGAGAGAATGACAGCAAAAATAACCACTCCCCAAATTTATAGACAAAACATTACAGATGCATTCTGAGATTTCTTCCTAGTCAATAAGATAGACAACTTCTTGCTCTCGTCTGACTTATGTTTGTTCTTGTCTTGAAATCAGAACAATATGATTGCATCTCTGTATCTCTTTTTTGTGTCAATATCATTCTTAGTTTGTGAACCTTTTGCCTTATTAATATTACTTTGACTTATTACTGTTGTTTTGTGTTATTACTATTGCTTTGCCTAATTTACTATTACTTTGCCTTATTACTGGTTGTTTTGTCTTATTACTGTTGTTTTGTCTTATTACTGTTGTTTTATGTTTTCTATTACTTTGCTTTATTACTATTGCTTTGTCTTATTACTGTTGTTTTGCCTTATTAATGTTGCTTTGCCTTATTAATATTTCTTTGCCTTATTACTGTTGCCTTATTACTGTTGTCTATATCACTAATGCTTTGCCTTATTACTTTTACTTTGCTTTATTAGTGTTGTTTTTCCTTGTTACTATTGCTTTGCCTTATTACTGCTGTTTTGCTTTATTGCTATTGTTTTGCCCTATTACTTTTGCTTTCCCTTGCATATATTGTTTGCTTTCTCAATAATATTTTTGCCTTCTCCTTTTCTTTTATTTCTCTTGCTATTGTTTATTGCAAACTTTGTAATTTCTGTTTTTGACCATTTCTGTCAATTGCATTTAAACATTGCCAATTACTGTAAAAGTTTATAAAATGAATGTAAGAGTAGGAAGCAAGGATAATGAAGAGAGGTAAGAATTGGCTTTGAGTGGTTAAGTTTTTAGCATATGGGGAAGCATCTACATCTGTTCTCTAGAGCAGCATTTTCTTTGAAAAAACTGTCCGAGCAGAACTTCCTCTTTACATTTGGAATCCAAAGAGACTTAGGGTGGTTCAACTCTGTGGATGCAACATGACCAGTTTTAGCTCAAGAGGTCTGAATTTATGGAACTCAGGAACAAAACTTGACCAAACATTCACGATTTAAAGAGCAATAGACTAGTGGCAAGGCTTGTAGTGTTGCATCTGTGGAAAAAGGTGTGGCAGGGTGGGAAATATGCCAGCCACCATAAGGTTGCATAAATGCATTTGCACTCTATCAATGCTGGGTTGGATTGGTGAGCTCAAGCTGGGCATATGGCAGCAATACTTCATTTTTGGTCTAATCTGACTTGTTTAAAGATAAAACACATGGGAGAAGGAATCAAGTGTTATCATGGAACTCAGTATTATATGTCAAATGTTAAAGAGAGAAGAGCTGGGCACTGCCAAATAGATCTCATTGCCTTGAGGGATCTGATAAAAGGAAATTATCCAGAATGGTACCCCAACAATCTAAAGGAACAGTAACAATCTGAAGAAGTCTGCTTTTCTTACCTGAAACAGAATCAATATTAGAATTCCTGAATAGTGTTAAAACATAGCCAATCCTTTGAAGAGAGGAATGTTTATGTGATTATGGTTTTAAGCATAGAAGATACCTTTACATTCATGTTTGATTAACAAAAGAAGCTGGGCGATGATTTATTTCACCATCATCATGAAAAATATTTTACGAATTCAGAAACAATTCTAATTATTTGATAGAAATAATTCACTTTTTTTCTGGTTTCTGTTTCTTTTCCTTTGAAACACTTATTCTTGTGTTCTTTCATTCTTCGTTTCTCTTTATTTTTTTCAACTCTTTTATCAGTTTTTTGTTTTTAATTTTCTCTTTCATTCTTTGCCTCTGATCTGTAGGTTTTTTGAAAAGACTTCAACTCTAATATCTCATATTTTTTCTTCTGGTTTATTTTTTTTTTGCTTCCTTCATTTTCTGTTATTTTTCTACTTTATTCTTTTTTTGTTCTTTTTTATTTCTTTGCTATCTTTTGTCTTTCTTTCACCACCTTTGTTTTTATTCATTCTTTCTTTTATTATTTATTTTATTTCTTTCCTATCTATTTTCTTTTTTTCTGATTCCTTTTCTCCCTTTCTTTCTTTCTCTTTCAGTAGAAAGAAATAAAAAGAGAAAGAAAGGAATTTTTTCCTTCATTTTCCTTCATTTTCAATATTTTCCTTTTTTGTATTCTTTCCTATTCCTTTTTTTCTCTCTTTTCCTCATTTTTACTTTCTTATTCGTTTCTTTCTTGCTTTCTTTCCTTTACTTTTTTCTTTCATTTTACTTCCTTTCTGTCTCTCATATCTTCTGTCTTTGTTTCATTCATTTTACTATCGTACTTTCTTTTTCTTTCTTTGTTTCATTGATCTGTATTTTTCCTTTTTTCTTTCATTTTTCCTTTCTTTCTTTCTTTCTTTTGTACTTATACATTTTTACTTTCTTCTTTTATTTCTTTCATTTTAAATTTCTTTTTCATTTTTACTTCCCTTCTTTCTTTATTTATTTTTACTTCCTTCCTTCCTTCCTTCCTTATTCTTTCAATTTTCTTTTCTTTCTCTCTTTCTCTCTTTCTTTCTTTCTTTCTTTGACCATTATTTCTTTATTTAATTTGTTTCTTACTTTTCATCCTAATTTTCTTTGTCTCCTTCCATTTACTTTCATTTTCCTTATATTATCTTTTTTTCTTCCATTTTGTTTCGTTTTCATTCAGTGAATGTTTCTTCAAATTTTCTGTTTCTTTAAGTCCCTTTCTTTAGGTTTAATTATTTTTCTCATTTATTTTCATTCTTTTCTTCTTTTTCATCTTAGATTTTTGTTTTACTTTTTATTATTATTTCTGTCATTTTTCATTCCTTCTCTCTATTTAATCTCTCCACTTTCTTTCCATTTTATTTTTACCATTTTTTATAGATTTTATTTTCATTTATTTTTATACTGTCTTTGCTTGTTTTTCTTTCTTTTGTTGACTTTCCTTCTTTCTTTTTTCTTTCAGTATTTTGCTACTTACCTAGCCATCTTTTTTTCTTTTGTTGGTCGCTTTGGTTTTCTTTCTGTTTCTCTTTATTTTACTACTTGCCTTGCCAACTTTCATTCTTTCTTTTTTTGTTGCTTGTCTTTTAGTCTTTCTTTCATTCTCTCTTTATTCTTTCTTTATTTTACTACTTGCCTTACCATCTTGTTTTATTACTTGTCTTTCTTTTTCTTTCTTTCTTTCTTTCTTTGTTTCTTGCTTTATTCTACGACTTGCCTAGTCATTATCTTTTTCTTTCTTTCTTTCTTTCTTTCTTTTATTGCTTGCCTATTTGTCTTTACTTCTTTCTTTCTTTCTTTTTCTTTCTTTATTTTGTTACTTGAATAGTTATCTTTCTTTTTGATTCAACTTTCTTTCCTTTTCTTTATTATTTTTAATTTTATTCCTTGCTTATTCTTTCATCTTTAGTTTATCCTTTATTTTTTTTAATCCTTACCTATAAATCTTCTTTTTTTCTTTCTTTTACTCTTTTTTCTTTCTCTCTTTTTTATTACTGACCTACTCATTCATCATTGTTTTTTTTATTGGTAGCCTATCTATCTATCTATCTTTCTTTCTTTCTTTCTTTCTTTCTTTCTTTCTTTCTTTTTGCTTGCTATTTCATTCATCTTATATTTTTTCTACTAATTATAAATCCATCTTTCTGTCTTTCTGTCTTTCTTTCTTATTCATTCATTTATCTTTTTTCCTTGTCAGTTCTTTCTTTCTGTGTTCCTTCCTTCTTTCATTTCTTTTTTCCTCTCTTTCTTTTTCTTTCATTTTTTCCTTTCTTTCTTTTATTGTTTACTTATTCATCTTTATTTCTCTCTATTTTATTAATTGCTTATTCATTCATCATTCTTTTTCAGCGGTTGCCTATTTTTCTTTTTTTATTGCTTCCTTATTTTTCATCTATATTTTCCTTCATTGCTTGCCAATGTACTTTCTTTTTTCTTTCTTTCTTCCTCCTTCCTTTCTTTCTTTCTTGCATTAATTCTAATCTACCCTGGACAATAACCAAATGCACAGTCTGACCTTTACTTCATCATGTCACCTTTTTTGGACAGTGAATCACAATCATTTAAAACCCCAATTGTCCACTCACAAAGATTTGGAAAACCATTGAATTCCCGAGTTCTTTGAAAACCCTATTATTAAAGCGAATTTCTTGACTTTTGGTCCAAGGGACACACTCAACAGAAATGTCTATGCCTCCTTTTATCATGATTTCATTCTTAATATCCTATAATATTTGCCGTTTATTAGCACAAATTTCATTCCATGACAGCTTTTTAAGGAACCTAGCACATGACAGATAACATGTTTTATGAAGGACTCGGTTAAAAAGAAAAAATAAATTACACCTCATTTTTGTTGTATTTGTATTCATTTGATATTATCGTATTATAAAACAGTTGCCATACTATACAATATCTAAAAATGTAATAGGCAAACTTGGACCTTCGTAACCACAAAAATGTACTGTCTAAAGGACAGTTTTCCATTGACACCACTATTATTTTAACTACCTTCACTCCTTACCAATGTTTATTATTTTAAAAAGCTATGATTAGGACTAAAACCTAAACACATGATGAAAGTGAATTTATACATTTTCTTTGTTCTTGAGAATTGACAATAAAAATAATAAACACTATTTATTTATTATATTATTTATTGGAATGGTTGGCAAAATATTGGTTAATTACCAATCATTTCAAACTTTATAAATAATAAGGATTTGCTTATAGTTGGTTCTCATATTTTAATAATTTAGTAAATGTTTATAAATTTATGAATAAAAAATTGTTTTCATATTGATTTCTTTATAATTTGGAAAATGATAAATATTGCATTGCATTAGTTTTAATTGTATTTGTTCTTAGAATTGTTGTAAATAAACAATTGAATAAATAAATAATGTTTAATATCTTTATTGTAAATTCTCAAGAACAAAAAATGTCTGAATTCATCACAATCATATGCTTAGGTTTGATTCCAATTCTAATCATCACTTTTTAAACCAATAAACATTGCCGAGGAGTGAGGGTAGTTAAAATAATAGTGGCATCAAGAGAAACCATCCTTTTCTGTTTTTTTGCAGGCACAAAGGTCTAAGTTTGCTAAAATATCCATCCAGTAATCTCTTATTATATACAAAAATCAGGAATGAATTAAAATTTGATGTTTTACAATTAATTATGAAGTGTACTGAAACATACTCAACAAAACCCACTGACCACCCAATCAGTATTTTTATGACCAAATATATTCATTTTTTGAATTGCATAAGCACCCCCTTGAAGAGCTTCAGTAAATACATTTTATAAATCATATAGATTTTTACTTGTAGACGGACACTAATTTTTCTTATTCAAAATTATGTCTGATTTTTATTCATTTAAATTTAAACTTTTTGAAAATATTTCCTTCTTAAAATTAAAGATAATATTCATCTGGAGATAATTACTATCAATAGACTTGTCTCCCATTATAGAAATTAGGGAAGGAAAATTGAAGCATTCCCTAATGTCTGAAGTTATTAATATTGTGTAACAATGAGTTTTTATTAAATGATTTTTTTAGTGATATTTTTGGTCTTCTTTTGACAAGTGGATAACTACAAGCAATATCTGAAATTTAAATTCAAAACCTTTGCAGTGTTTAAATCGTGTCAAAGTTGGCATCCTCAGTCCCACCCTTTCACTGTCAAAATGGTTAAATGTGGCCGTCTCTTCTACTCCAATAGCTTCATGTCTCACAACTCCAGTCTGTGGAATTCGCTTCCTATTATTTTTTTCCCTGAGAGCTATAATCTCCAACTATTCAAATGTAATATCAATCGATATATCCAGATGCCACGATCTATTCCCCATCCTTCTCTTCATCCTTTCCTCTATTATGCCTCTTTACTCTTGCTCCCACTCTCTGTAACCCCTTACATGTTAGTGACACTCCTGTCTTGCTTGGATTGAAATGCTTATAAAAAAAAAAGAAATATATATATATATATATATATATATATATATTATAAATTAACAGATTTAAAATATGGTTTCTTTGCTACACAGTAGTAACCATGTTTCAAAAACTGAAGCTAAAACTTCAAATTAATTTAAATAATTAAATTAAAAGCATTAGTTCTGTTTCATTTTCAATTGAATTTTGGAATAACTTATTGCGTTTAATGGATTTCAGAATTCATTGAAAAATGCACTAAAGATATCTTTAATCATTTCTAACATGCAGCAGTTCAAAGTTTAACCTGATAATTGGACAATTTTCCTGTTATACGATTTGTCCAATTTGGAATAATTATTTTAAATATTAGATATTAAACATTAAATCTTACTTTTGCACAACACTATATATATATATATATATATATATATATATATATATATATATATATATATATATATATATATATATATATATATATATATATATATATATATATTATTATTATTACTGTAAACATTATTCTTATTGAG